ATATATATATACAGAGTTTTTACAATCAATGTTTTTCCTTCTAAGAATTGTTAACTTTTTGCTAACATTTGCAGTGAATAGTGTTGATTAACCATTGTAAAAAAAAACAAACAACTAAAAAAACTGCTATGCTAGTCAGCAATTACGTATTTAGCCACAGGTAAAAAAAAATACTTAATTTTTGAAAAGATGCAGTGCAATTACTAATCACTTCTCTTGATGCTGTGAAATGTCCTCGGTTTGGGTTGATGGAAGGTTACTTGTAATGTTTTCTATATCAAAATGATATTTATCCTTTCATGTTTTTAAATATTAAATAAATATTCTTTGATGTTTTTAAGATACACCCTAAATATCCGTTGACCCTTATGATTCAGCATGTATGTTGCATTTTCTGTTACAATTGTAGATTCGTCTAAGCATGGCACTGGTGTTGCTGCTAAGATATGTCATGAAAGTTGTGATGAATCCATAAATCCTTCATACCTGCTTTAGCATGCCAGCTACAAGTCTCAGCCTCAGATGGCATTCTCACAGACCATCTGTTTGTTCACTGACCACCTGATTCATGTTGCACACATAACTGGAAAGCACTTTGGCTATAATATATATATATATATATATTATTTTGTAATAAAATCAAGATTCAGGTGTAACAATGAATGTTAATTTTATGCATATTTTGTTAGCAGTGGCAAAAGTAGTAGTATGCAGTTTTGATGTACAAAAACAGTATAATAGGTTGCACAGGGCTGAAAAAGAAAATGTACAGAAATAGTTTTGGTTTGAAATGATGAAGAATATATAACTATATATTACTTGATTCTATTAATTAATACTCTGTAATCAGACATGCAATGTAAGAAATCAAAGAACAGATTTACATACATTTCTTTGACAGTAATGAATGTTTAGCGGTCTCATGTCTTGAAATAGCTGAAGGAAAGCTCTTCTTTGTGATAGCTCATTTAATTTCAGATCGAAATATTGTCTTATTCACATAATTTTTTGTTTGTTTTGTTTGTCAAGCTGTTAATTCAGGTGTCTTTGTAGTAATTGTAATTATGCAGTTGAATTCACACCCACAAACGTCTGAAGAGTGCAGTGAACAATAGCCGGATGGTTCTGCTGCCTTTCTCAGGAGCTGCCACATGATTTAATATGTGACAGGCAGACAGAGGGAGTCAGAGACGTGCTGATGTGGCCTTTGTTGCTTGCACTGTATGAAAATAATTTTAGGTTGTTGCACTAGTATTCCACTGAGACCTTACAGAGAAAATGACAGGCGGCACATCACGGAAGGCAGAAAAAAAACATCTTGAAAGTGAATTTTAGGGTTATCTTAGAAGAAAATTGTCATGTTATGTTAATTTTGTCAGATATTCCACACACAAAATAGCTCTTCTTTGTGATAGCTCATTTAATTTCAGATCGAAATATTGTCTTATTCACATAATTTTTTGTTTGTTTTGTTTGTCAAGCTGTTAATTCAGGTGTCTTTGTAGTAATTGTAATTATGCAGTTGAATTCACACCCACAAACGTCTGAAGAGTGCAGTGAACAATAGCCGGATGGTTCTGCTGCCTTTCTCAGGAGCTGCCACATGATTTAATATGTGACAGGCAGACAGAGGGAGTCAGAGACGTGCTGATGTGGCCTTTGTTGCTTGCACTGTATGAAAATAATTTTAGGTTGTTGCACTAGTATTCCACTGAGACCTTACAGAGAAAATGACAGGCGGCACATCACGGAAGGCAGAAAAAAAAACATCTTGAAAGTGAATTTTAGGGTTATCTTAGAAGAAAATTGTCATGTTATGTTAATTTTGTCAGATATTCCACACACAAAATGCACTGCATTTTTGCTCTTTGCCTTACAGGATGCATTATATCTAATATCAGAGCTCAGATCAGATAAATAAACTTAAATGTACACTTAAATATCTTTTGAGTTTTTCAACAAATATTATTAAAGGGATTTTCTGTCTCTGTTATCACTTCAAATGATAGAAATGATGTTGTGTGATGTTTTGATGTTTGTAGCTTACAGAGACATTCTTGAAATATGACTGCTTATAGTTGTAGATCTGTTTTCTTTACAGTTCTGTCTTTTTATTTATATGAAGGCGTTTGCCACTTAGCTCTCAGAGATGCACTTATCGAATGAATGCAATTGAATGTTTAAAGCAATTAAATAATATGTTTTATTAATTATGGTTTAAAACTTCAGATTTTCTCAGTTCTCTTGTTTAGTGAAAGAAAAATGGAAATATAAAAGATATGTGCAATATAATGTGCAGTAAATGCAGTAAATCATAGATGAACTATTCCAAATTCTGTATTTTATTATATTTTTTGATCTAATAAAACTTTATAGATTATAAGAGGGAGCATTCTGTTCTGTCTTCTAGCTTACCGGGAAGACTGAGGTCAGTGTAGCTGTATTGTTGGTGTACATATGCATTTGCAGGGGTCAGTGAGGTGTAGGAATATTCGAAGATCATGAAACTTTCCTGAGATGAACATATCCAAATTTCTTCCTCCTAGCTTCTAGTGAAGGCCACTTAATAGACTTAATAAACAGCTTGACACTTAAAAATCAATTAATATCAGTGGTTGGGTATTTATGGGTTAGACTGCATGTGTCATTGTTTAGAGAACGTGTTTTGCTTTTATTTTCTGTACTTATTGCAGTTGGACAATAAAATAGCCTTCAGACTTTTTTTCATCCCCTAAGAGATGTAGTTCATCAGGATCATGAACCTTTCTGCATGAGATACATTATGCAACCATAACTGCATATTTGTTCATCAATAGTGTTTTTGCTAATAGTAATGGCAGATTCATGCTGTGTTCAATTGTAAGAACAAGTCATTGGATACCAATCAGAAAGTTTCATACAGGATGCCAAGCAATCAGGATACTAGCAGCCATTTCCATTTTACGCTTGCTAAATATGGTGTTCAGCGAAGGTCCACTGTGGAAACCATTAACGAAAAACCAAATAGCCAGTTGTGCACAACTCTTTTGTGGCAGATTGATTGAATTTTGAAGACCAAAGACCAGGAATAATTGCTAAAAGCTTCTGTAGGTCTCCAAACAAAACCTTTTTCTTTCCTCACAGAATTTTCAACAGAAACCTTAGGTATTTCTTCTAATTTCATCTCTTTTTCCCTGTGTGGAGCACCTCTCTGATTCCACCCGCATGGAGTGCTATTGATCCCCGCCTCTGGCTCACAACTGTCAGTATGCGCTGGCACATCCTTGTGCTGATGGCAAGGAAGGGCTTTTAGAGGGAGTGAAATCAAAAAGCAATTTACATGTTTTTCCCTCTCTCTCAAACTCTTTCTGTCTCTCTCCTCCCACAGAACTCCTGTCAGCCTGTCACGAGCTGCATTGCCGTTATGGATGCATCATGACCAGAAACGGCACATTCTGCTTCTGTGCAGATGGATTCGAGGTGGGAGAGGATGGGCGTAGCTGTAGAGGTAGGCACTCTCAGGGTCATGCCAGGCATCTCAGACAAATGATCGGCTTTGTGCGATGAGGAGGGAGAGGGGTGGCTGTCCATCCCCAGGGTGTCTTTTCACACCTCCGTCCTGCTGTATTTGACGTGAGGCATTGACTCCAGAGAGGTCAAAGTGACTTCTCGGGCCTGATTTGACCTAAATGAAACCCTCTGAGTATGATATCAAGGCTGGTTGTTGTACATGATGGTGAAATATAGCTGATCCATTGCCACATTATGCCTAATTGTCTCAGTAGCAGAAATCAGGCTCAAACAGGAAGTTGTAAACTGGATAGATTTGTCTCAGGGAATACAGTATATCTCGAGGTCTCTTTGCTTTTTAAGCATTAATAGCACAAATCCTATATTTTTTGTTTGTGAGAACATTAGGTATGTTAGATGAACTATCTATCATAGCTAACATAAAACAATATTTAACATAAAATAAACCTATCATGAAATTTGGATGTATCAAATGTTGCCCCCCTCCCCAAAATTGTGATTTGTTTTTTGACTACATCCAACAATTAAATTGTAGAACTAATATTCAGTCTGTTTTATTAAATGTATTTATGTAATTATTGATTTAATGTAGAACTGGTCACACAATGCTTACCCATGTACAGTATATTTAGTGAAAGGAGAAAAAATGCCTTTACATAATTTGTGTAAGTCTTTCTTGATTGTAAAACATATTCAGCTTTAAATGATTGTAGGAAACTTTTTTTTTGCTCAGAAAAAAATGGTACTTTATTGTTTGTTTGTTTGCATGTGATTTGAATGTTTGTAACAGAAATAATGATTCTGTGTGGCTGAAAAGACTGTGAAGCTGTTTCATTCATGACAGATGACAGCTGCTCTCTCTCTGTAGGTTAATGGCAGCGCGAACGCAGATTTAAATGTTCAAATCACACTGGTGTGATCGTACGCTGCACGGACGAACCAAGTGATCACAATGTTGTGATCGCACACGTCAAAGGTTGAGGAATGAAACAGACGAGTCATTGTAATTTAGGAATAGAATCACGTTGGTGTTTGAATCATGTTTGCAATCTTTAACGATCTATTAAATTAAAGTGCTTTGGCATGTTGGTGGTGACACCTCTCTTGTTTAGCTATCACAGATATTATACTTAGCATTTTTGGCTTCTGATCGCAAATGTAGCCAAACTTTGGAGCACTTAGATTAGCGAGCAAGGTCCTGGCAGATCGCTAGGTCCAGTCCTCACAGATGAAGGAAAAAAAAGCACAGGAATCGATAAGCAGAATCGAAATTTTATTTTGACAAGTATCCGATTCCTGACCTTAAGTATCCGATTCTCAAATCGGAATCGATTTTCGTTTCCCAACCCTATACAGTGGGCGAATTCCAAAGGGCTTTTTTGCGCCCTTGAAGGGCACTTCGGGAAGGGAATGCCATTTGTAGGGACGTTCCAAACAGAAGTGAGCAACTGAATCAATCCCTTCACGAAGGGCCCTTCCAGAAGCCCGCTAGCAAAGGGAACATGCGATGGTCACTTTACGGAAGTGATTTCCGTTTCTGATCATGTGATCTTCGGTTAGTAGATCTTGCGATGCTTTTTAAAGCAAAGTTGGGGTTGATTTCGACTTCACATACAAACGTAAGTAGAATAGGCTAATTATATTTGTCTATTTTACTATAATACAAAATATTTTTCATCAGTGAAAGAAATATGATTTGACTGTAGTGTAAGCAAGTATAGTTTGAACAAGTAAATAGCAAATAAGACACAATTAGACAATATTTGAATAAAATAATAAGAATAATAATAAGAAGAAATAATTATTTGCAACAACTGATGGAGTGCTGAATGCTGCACGCACGCGCAGCGTTGTCAAAGTAACATGTCAGTCATTCCCTTCACCAAGGGAGTTCCAAACGCTTATACGAGACAGTAATGGCCTACACCCTTCAAAGAACACACTTCAAGGACTCTGCCCTTCGAAGGGAGTAGGGATGCTCACTTCCGTTTGGAATTCGCCCAGTATTGCAGTTAGTTGATCTAAAACGGTGATTGACAGCTGTCAATCATGTCGGTATGCAAATGAGCGGTATGACCTAATTTACACAGCGTATTTTTTATTTTGGTCCCTCATGCGCACCACTTATGTGCACCCCTGAGTATATGCATACTTATTTTATTATGTTTTTGTGTGAAATCGATTTTAGGTGTTGTTTTTTGTTTGTTTGCTTGTTTTTTTTTTTTATAGTTTTTTAGGCCTCAAAATCCTCAGAAAAACTTTTTAGGCTATATTTTGTACCCTGATCATAGAAGGTTGCTCCGGATGTTCAACTAAGACAAATCGGTAAATCACCATTGGAACATTACACTTCAGTACAGCTTAAACAGGCACAGACCTGGAGACTGACGCAAGGCAGGACTTGCCCGGAGATACAAGGTGGCATAGGGAGAAGCCACCGAGAGGCCACATTAAGTGGATTTTATGTATTTGGGTCATGTTTGAGCACACCTAATTTGTCATAAGTGACTCTTCCTCTGTGTACAGATCATGATGAATGCACCATGTACGGGACATGCAGCCAGACCTGCATGAACACCTATGGGTCATATCGCTGCAGCTGTACAGATGGGTACAGCCTGCAGCCGAACAGACGCTCCTGCATAGCCAAACACGGTAAGAGCATGATAAATTAATGACCGGGGATCTGCAAAAGCCGTTTGAAATGTTGTCACGTCCTGATATTGTTCTTTCAAAATTTTTACTCTGTGTGATATAAATGAAATTAACTTACAGCGGCTGCAGCTCTGCTTTAAGCCGCCTTTGGCGCTGGTAATTTTCTGACCTTGAAAAACATTTTCTAATGTCTGCTTGAGAAATATGCAATGCTGATTAGATGTTGCGTGTATCTGAAATGACTTATATCTGAAACAACATAGTTCTGCTCAGTGATTGCCATGCAAATAGGGGGGACTGGGGCTAGTCGTCACAGAGAGAAGTTGTCACATGAGATTTCACAAACCTATAAGATTTTGAGTCAAAAATCCAATTACACAAGCAGAAATGTTCTGTTAATTTCAAACACCTGGTTCAACAACACTTTTAAATTATAATCCTTTTTTTTTTTTAATCCTGTTAATTTTTTTCTTCTTCTTCTCCAAACTGACATTTCTAAAGCTTCATTTCATATATACAATATGTCAGAGAAAAGGTATATCAGTTGTGTTATATGTTGTAATTTTACACAATTTAAAAATATATATATATATATATATATATATATATATATATATATGTGTGCACACACACACACACACACACACACACACACATTTTTTCCATGAATTGTTTTGTTTAGGCTGACAAATTACATTATACAGTGACAGCAAGCCCCTCTACTAAGTCAATGCTTGTTTAAACTTCATTTATCTTATTTTTTTTTCTTCAAGTCATTAATAATTCTATGCATGTATGTATAGAAATTATTCTCTGTTCTCAGGTTTGCCTTTTTTCAAGTAAGCTTTCAGGGATCACGTATGAATCCAGACTAAACCAGTTCAGCCTCTCATTCCCATAAGGACCTGAAAATTGAGTCAGTTTGCTTTGGATATTCTGCTACAGTCCCTATATCAGTGTTGCTGTGCCAAGGGACAGAAATAATGGAGCTATTGGTGGAAGATAAGCCAGACATTGAGGATTAAGTGGAGGCTGAGTTTTATGAAGAGCAGGGCCTGAAGGACAGCTATTCTCTGTCTTTATCAGGCCATGCCAATTCATTACTTGCCTAATGGCACCTGCCAGTGAGAGTGTCTCCCCACCAGCCTCAAATCCAATCAAGTTTATCATTAAATCAGCTGCTTTTGTAATAAGGTGGTTTTGTAGGGAAAACACTCACTACAATTCTAAATGGATTCTAATCCCTTTTGTAGATTGGTCATTTGTTTAGGCTCAAGTAATTGAAGTCGTTTTAATAAAAAAAAGAGCTATTGAGTCCCAAATGCTCAATAGCTAGATTTTCTACAGCTGTGAGAATTATTATAAAATAAGGAGAAAATATGCAGCATATATTTGAATCTCACTTGCTTACAGTGTCAGCTGTGAGAAACTATTTGGATTTGAGCAAACATAGTGAGTATGTATATGAGTGGATCAAGAGCGGGTAGAGAATTTTTTTTCTCTACCTGTGAACACTTTTTTCATGTTCGCTGGTGTTGGATTGGCTGCTGTGTCTTAGCAAAATTGTGGATATTAAGAAAACATCTGAAATGATATCTTAATTACAGTTTACATCACCTTTCAAGGATTAATTCACTCAAAAATTAAAATTTGCTGAACTGGAGATCTGGAGAAATTTTGCATTACATCACTTGCTCACCATTGGATCCTCTGCAGTGAATGGGTGCCGTCAGAATGACAGTTCAAACAGCTAAAAAAAATATCACAATAATCCACAGGTAAACCAGATGACTCCAGTCCATCAATTAACATCTTGTGAAGTAAAAATCTGCCTCTTTGTAGTAAACTAATACATCATTAAGATGTTTTTAACTTTAAACCGGTTTATGGCTAAAATACGAGTCCTCTATCCATAATATTGCATTCTTCAGTGAATCCTCATTCTGACGGAAACCATTCACTGCAGAGTATCAATTTAAGCATCTTATTTGTATACAAACCTCTGATTAACATTTTAAGAGTTGATTTACATCCATTTTGAATCATAAATGTTGTTATAACTGACTGGAACTATCTGGGAAATTATACACACCGCTTTTATGCAATTTGACTTTTAGTTTTTCTAAGGCCCATAGGGTCATTTGAAGTCTTATGAACACTGGTGTTGTAAACTCGCCCCTGCATAAATTAATTATGTTGAGTACACACAATTCATGAATAAAATCTGTTACAACGTGTGCTAGGTATGCTGGCCTCAAAGTATGCCTCGTGCAAAGCATTTTGTGACCTAAAAAGATGATGCATCCTTGTATTTCTATTGGTGCGGTACACTGCAACCGGTTTGAATATGTGTTTTAAATTAAATGGAGATTACGCCACTCAGTGGGAAATAGCTAGCAGGCAGTGGTGCACCTTGCTGCTGGATGCAGAATCTGCCCCACGTTTAATCAATGTGACTGCTTTCCTATGAGGAATAAACTGAATATCATTACCCATAAACTTAACCGAACTCAGCGCTCACCCACATTAATATTAATTTAGCAGAAAGAGGTTGTTGCACTGGGATAACTATGGGTTTCCATTAGATATAAAAGCTCATGCATATAAATTTCAATGCATCTTCTTTTCTTTAAAAATAATTTAAAGGAAAGATCTTTGTTGGTTTATTTTATTTATATTATACCTTGATACATACTCTGTGTGTGTGTGTGTGTGTGTGTGCAGCCTGGTCTCATGTTTGTATGTAACAGTTAGGTATTATTACGTAACATTTACAAGCACAAAACTTAAATTTTTGTATGCTTTTATTGATGCTAAAACATACAATTTAGATGCATTTCAACGTTTAAAATATACAAATCGCTACGTATTGTTAGCTAAAAAACGTACAAATATTTACGTATCTTTTAAATCATTAAGATATTAGTATCAATACATTTGTATCATTTTATCAATAAGCGATTTAGATTTTTAGACCCCTTAACCTACCCCCAAACCTAAACCTACACTCTAAAAAATGCTGGGTTATTTCAACCCAATGTTGGGTCAAATATGGACTAACCCAACTGTTGGGTTAAATTTTGGTTACATTTTTAAATTAACTTTTTAACCCAACAGTTGGGTTAGTCCATATTTGACCCAACACTGGGTTGAAACAACCCAGCATTTTTTTAGAGAGTACCCATTTTACAGCGAATATGCATTTTTATCATTTTATTAATAAGCGATTTAGATTTTTAGACCCCTTAACCTACCCCAAACCTTAACCTACCCATTTTATAGCGAATATAAAAGGATATAAAATGCAATTGACCGAAATATGCAGGAAAATAACAATTTTAGTAACAATATAGCATTAAAATATTTTTATAGTCGCTAATCCCACTCCTACCTATAAACCTAAACATTTCTGTACAGTATACGAAAAACATGACAGACAGATAAATGCAATTACAATCATTTATGTATTGCAAAAATGTCAAAAGCAGTACCAAACGTAATCCAAATGACGATACAGTAGGTTTGTGAGGTGCAGAGCAGAATTTATGTTGTTAATTGCTGAACATATTATCCAGATTATTTTCCCGATCCAATCACAGTATACGAAAAACATGACAGACAGATAAATGCAATTACAATCATTTATGTATTGCAAAAATGTCAAAAGCAGTACCAAACGTAATCCAAATGACGATACAGTAGGTTTGTGAGGTGCAGAGCAGAATTTATGTTGTTAATTGCTGAAAATATTATCCAGATAATTTTCCCGATGTGAACACGTGAAGGCCCCCGCGCATCATTCAAACACACCTCACCAGAAACACGGCATGTCGCAATCTGTGACGAATGCAGGCAAGAGCCAGTGAGTGTTCGATTATCCTGCCGTAAAACCTGTCATTTGAAGCGGCAACATTTGAATTTGTAAGGAGCGCGTCAGTCAGCATGGGCTTTGCTGTTTACGGTTGCTGGACTCGCTGCATAAACTTGATGGAGATGAAGATCGCCGAACAATGGCTGGGATTTGAGTCGTATGGATTCAGAAGATTTGGATGACAGCGCACGAATAAAATTCATTTCATAATTATGTTGCGTTTTTTGGTGTGTTGTATAGTTCTATTGTCAGTCACAGCATGTTGGAGAAAACGCCTTTTGTGGCCCATGGCAATCAAAGTAAACATTACATGACAAGTAAATGTTAAACAATTGCAGAAATGTTATTTATTTTAAGGTTTAAATTAAAGTCTTGTTTAACATTACGTAGGCCTATTCTTGGAAACGAGCTGGCAGCAGAAATCACAACAAAATTAAATGTTATAATTTCATATTAAGTAAACGAGTAAACAATTTAATAATGCAACTGAAAACAAGGTAATTGATATGACAACTAATAATAAAATTAATGCCGCGATTTCAATATTCATAAGGATTCATTTTTAGGTGTCGTCAATACGTCAGTTTTGTACGTTTAAATGCTGAAAATAGTAAGTATTTGTACGTTTAGATACTGAAAATACATCAGTATTGTACATTTTAGTGCCTGTAAAAACGTTAGTAAATGTATGTTTTATAGAACCACATTTTACGTAAAATACAAACAAATTATCATGAGATCATGTTGGTGTGTGTCACAGACAGAGAAACACAAATTGTATTATACAACGTGAGTATAAAAAACGGAATAAGAACAGAAATATCCAGCTGACTGCTGTGTTCTGAAAATGGGTTTCTCTCATAAGAGACATGATTCTCAATTACTCGTGCCCTCTGCAGGAGCCTGTATTATCCTGTTCTACTGAAAGCATGGAATGCCCAGGAAATGCCTGGCCTCAAGATGTCTTGTCACTATTTTCCTATCCATCTATTCCAGAGCTCGGTGAAAACCCTGCAGCGCTGCTGATTGGAGGCTCGGATAATATTATAATCACAGCCCTAAATGGATCCCGCCTGCAAACCCTCAAACAACTGGACTCAAATGGAACTCATGGCTTGGATTTCAACCATAAAGAGGAATCAGTATGCTGGGTCACATCCTCAGAGTCCTCCGGACAACTCCGGTGTGCCAGGATGAGGAAAGCAAGTGGGTTCACTAAAGAACAGGAAGTAAAGACAGTCCAGAATCTCCATGGTATGGATCCTGTTAAACAGTTACATTAAAGTTACAATATGGTGAAAGAAAACTGATGCATTGATTCATTTTAATGAGTGATGAGACCAAGTGAGATAACAAAATGTCTGGTTGTGCAAAATTCAGAGTTGAATCTGCCTTTGAAATTCCAATTCAGTTCAAACAGGATGCAGAATTTGAATTCCAATTTAATGACATATCAAATGTAATGAAATTCAAAGAAATTTAGTGTTTAATATTTTTTTCCAGAAAGAATCACTCATACATATGTTAGTTAAAATACACACAACATATGTGTATTTCCAGAAAATATAGATGGTATTAATAATTATTTTTTTAATGCTACCTATAGAAATTTTGATTTAAGTTGTAGACAGTATGCATTTCAGTTAAAATACATGGCCTGTGAGGTAGCCCATTCTTAACTTCCAAGTATTGAGTTTCATGTAAAGTGCTAATGCGGGATAAAAAATAATAATTCTGAAACAGGGCTTAAAGTTGTTGTTAAAAGTTCAGTACATTTTGTCTTTTACTCATGAGACCTGATCTTCTCATATTGAACAAACCATTTAGTGTAACAATGAGTTCTGCTTGACTGCGTAGTGCTTATCAGTGCAGTATGGAAGCTAACAGAGCTTATAATTTATTTACCGCTACATGAAATAGTTTTTGCACATTTGTGTAGTTCATCCAACAGTATGTATCCATTAAGTATTCATTAAAAGATCTCAAATTGAAAACGATTTATGACTCTTTTAATAAGTAGCCTATTAGTTTACAGTGTTGAATTGGAGAATAAGTACATGCTCTCATTTCGGTATATTGATCCAAACAATAGCCTCTAAACCAAGAATTTCTTTATGACTTAAAGCGAAGCATTTCAGTTATAACATATTTCATGTCTGGTGCAGTGCATTAAGAGCCTCTAATGGACCCCAAGTTTATGATCTTGAAAAAGTAAATAAATTATACTAATTTGACTTAGTTTATGGGGCACTTTTTGTTTGGTTCAATGTTAGGCATTTTTCTTATTAGTTAAAAAGGTTCACTGTTTGTTTTACTTATTTCTTCTAGTTTGTTTATCATGCTTGTTAATGCATTTAATCAATAAAATCACGTAATTTTTATATTCCATCTAAATGAATATTCTATATAATATATCAAACAACATTGAACAATAGAATATTCATTGAAAAAGGAAAAGTAGCAATTTTAATATGTAGATTAGGAATTTATTTTCATGAATAAGGTCTTTCATGAATATGATTGACTGATTAACACTTCATGGCGAGAATTCTCTATGACTTGTCATGAACATATGCCAATTAATGATCACACCAATATATCATCTTGTTTTGTGTAAATTGACCATGTTTTCCTTTGTTCCAGACGTTGATCAATTAGCCTTTGATTGGCTCACAGGAAACTTTTACTTCGTGGATCAAGCAAGCGACAGAATATTTGTTTGCAACCAGTATGGAGACACCTGCATTACAGTGATAGACCTTGACCTGTTGAACCCTAAAGCAATCGCTCTGGATCCTCTAATGGGGTGAGTTGAAAATGCATGATGTGAGATTTCATCTTTGACAAGGCCTTTGATGATCTAAATCCTCTCACATATATTGCAATATTTTAGGCAAATACTTCTCCGACTCTGTCTTGCCTGTACTGTTCCCACAGCTAAATATTTACTCTTCTTTTCAACACTGTCTGGTTGCATGGTTGTGCTACGAATCCCACAGTCAGGAGTGTCATTAGTATTCCATGATTTATCCAGCATCCCACAGTCTTGAACGCTGTTGCAGAAATCTGCTTAACATGAGTTTTGTTTTGCTTTGACACCACAAAGCCACAGTTGAAACAAGGTGGTGGTGGGTCCCTCATGTCAGCATGGTGACTGTGGAAATGTTTCGGGAGAGATGAGTAAAATAACACAAAGAGTCCTCAAAGGAGAGAAGGGCAGCATGATTATACTAGTTATTAGCTGCTAATTGAAGCGCCATGGTAATATTCTCAGCGAGCTTAGAATAGGAATTCAGGAGAGCGATTGTCCCATTTATTCATGAGAGTGCAAGGACAGGCTGAGCACTCCGTTCCGGGTTTTTTAATGAGACGCCTTGTGCCCAGTGAACCTAAATTGTAGCACTGGTGTTCAGCACACTAAAGACTGCCAGGAGAGCCCAGGCCATCAATTCTGCCTCCATTCTTCGGTGTGTGGTTGTCATCCTTTTGTTTTTGTGCTGTGACTCTGACAAAAACGAAATTTTGACTACCCTGAATGAAGGCGTGCTTAAAAGAAATGACAGCCGTTTATCTCTTTGAGTCTAAATGCTGTGTTCTTTCTCCTGTGATCATCAACAACCTCAGAGATTGTTCAAAAACTTTCAAGAGAGTTTGAATGGAATGCACAGAGGGCTGAATTCTCCAGTTTCATCACTTTAGTTTTTGCCATTTTAGTGCTAAAGTTTTATTGCTCACTGTAAAAGGCTGAGATGGTCCATTCATACACATGAATGATGCAAATTGTAACCCTAAATATAGCAGCTGTCTTTTTGCTTTAAGGCTAAAAGTGCCAAACATCTTTTTCATAAAGGAATCTCAAAGCTCAATATGATGTCTGTAGGAAACTGAGGATCCTAAACCAAATTTTTAAGTGTAAACCAGCTTTCGGTGTGTTACATGATTTACATATTGCTTCAGGTGAAACAAGTTAAATCACTAATTCAAGGATTTTAAAATTAAATTAAATTTGTGTGTGTATATATATATATATATATATATATATATATATATGTGTGTGTGTGTGTGTGTGTGTGTGTGTGTGTGTGTGTGT